CTTCATGACCAGAGGTTGTCCTTTGGGTTCTCCCCTTATCTGCCTGCAGTTCTACCAAGTTCCACTGCGGTGTCTGAAGACCCAGGCCTGTTAGCTGCGTGCAGATTTACGGCGCGGGTTTAAGCTAATGGGTACTTATCAGGCAGGCTGTATTTGGTGATCGTCCATCATTTGCTCATTAAACAGTGTATCTAAGTGATTCTCATTTCCTCCCTGCCATGTCTGGAAAGGAGGAAACTAGACACATTACGATGGAATATTAATGTCCTGGAGGATTAAGCCACCCATAATTAGATCTTCTTTGCATAAACCTGCTAGTGCTACCTTATTTTGTTGTTTGTTTTGCTCTTAATCATCTTCACATCTCTTTCTCTTTCCAAATCTTTTTTTTTCATTTCTTTCCCAGTTTTGTAATGCTATTCCATTTGTCTCATCCTTCTTCCTTTTTCTTTTCCCCTGACTGAGCACAGCAGCCTGGGTTTCCCCCACTCCTCCCTCTGCCACACAAAAAGGCTGACTTTGCCAGCAAAAACCACACTTCCTGCCAAGCCCTGTTACTGACTTTGGAGAAAAGCAGCTAGAGAACTTGTGCAAATCCAGGCTCTGAACTACCTAAATAAGCCGAATCAGTAAACCCCCATGTCTTATTCCCTGGCTTTCTGGCCCATGAAATCACTAGTGGATAATGGTCCTATTTAAAAGGAAAAATGCTGCTCAGGCACCACTGATGGCTGATAGGACTGGGCAGCCACTGGGCTGCACTGAAAGCAGGGAATTTGTGGATCCTGGGACAGGGCGAGGAATGGCATGGCATATCCCTTCCAGCTGTAAGGGAAGGAGGATGCACCCAGACACACTCACTGATACTGTTCCCTGTGCCCCACAAACCCTTCTGTTTCCACATGGGATGGGTAAGTCTCCCTATGGCACTGTGCTCCTGGCTTAGGTCAGCTCTATGCCCACAGCAGCACCAAATTCAGCTAGTTTTCATCCTGCTTTCCTTTCCCATTCCTTGCACATCTGTGTGTTTTGCAGACTTCTGCCTCACAGGTGTTCCCAGGTAGAGAATCTAGCAGGAGCACCTAAGCAGCAGGTGGGGAAGGCTTTAAGATGAGCCAGGAGATAAGGTGAGCTGGCTTCTCCAAATCAGCAGTTTACAAGCATTTTCCCTTCTTGTTGCATTCCACTACCAGCTGTGGCAGCCCTGCTTGGGCAGGGTTCTGTGCTGCAGGTAGGGCAGGAGTGGAAGCATCCTGTGCTCTCCTTCTCCTCCAAGCCAGAGCGGCACCAGTGCTGTCAGCACTCGGACTCTGGGCTGGGTGCTTCAGCTTGGGTTTTTGGCATGGCCCCAGCCAGCAGCGTGCCTCCTGGCTGGTCCCTGCACCACTGCAGTCGTGGCTGTTTAGTGAGCGTACCAGGGGGTTCTTGTATTACGGGAAGGATTAAAATGGCCTACAAAGCCTATGTGATAGGGTAAGGGGGCACATGCATGCTGTCTTGATTACTGAGAGGTCCTGCTCACTTGTAAACCTGATTGCATCTAGAAATCAGCATCTGTTTCAGAAGCTTTTCACTTTGATAAGGTTAACTTATTTCCTGGGAGCAATAAAGTGTTAAATAAGCACTATGGCTACAGATGGAGTGCAGGTAAATAGTAGCTCTCGCTTTTGGGGAGGTGGATGTTATATCCTGTCAGAAGTTTCTCTGAGCACAAAAAACCCGAATCTTTGTGCCTGCAGCACTCATGACCTAGCAATTAAATCAGCGTCCTTGGGGAGCATCTGAGACAAGCAGGCCAAAGGCAAATATTTGGAGTGTGCGGGGGTGTTGTGCCACAATGTCACCCCTCCGCTACACTGCCTTTGCTCTGGCTCCCCCATCCTCCCTGCTCTGGAGGCATAGCAAAGCCACAGTGCTGGGGAGTAATGGAAGCAAAAGCAGACTGGTGTGAGTGCTGTTGTCCCCCTTTTTTTCCTAATTGCCTGCATGGTGGGCTTGTCACGGTGGCCTTGCTGTTTGCATCTCAGTGCTATTTTGTCAGCGAGATCCGGGGCTGAGTATCCATCCTCCAGCTGGACTGATGCTGCAAAGTGGGAAACTCCCAGAGCGCTTCAAAAGGTCATGTGGAGGGAGCAGGTATAGGTGGCAGTGGGAGTGTAATTACAGAGCAACTTCTGTTGTTGCAATCATGCAGGCATGCAGCGTAATTTGGGGAGAAAATGGGGTGAGTTTGTGAAGGAAAACAGGAAGCATCCAATGAAAAACATGTGTAGTGTGTCTGTGAACATTCTGCCCAAATTTAGCATTAGTGACTTTGGGTGGCTTCATTTTTCAGCGTTGAAGATGAAAAGCTTTCCCTCCCGCACCATGCCAGTTCCCCGTGGTGCTTCCCTGCTGCGGGGCCGTGCCGTGCCCATGCCCTGCTGGCGTCGGAGCTGTGGGGCTGTGCCTGTGGGCTCTGTGGGGAACCACACGGACACAGGCCGGCTCCCTGCCTTTGGTCACTGTGATTGGCTGGTGTGTCACAGAGAGCATATTTTCCTGCTAGTGAAATGGGAGTTATTTTACTGTGCAATGTATTGTGGAGAGTAATCATGTTGGATGCTTTGTACTTCTTCGTGGGCTTTTTTCCTCATTACTGCTGCTTAGATAATAGCATCCACAAAGTGAGTGTTAATGCAAACTGGTCACCTGAGTCAAACTAGCTTTCAAGGAATAATGGCCAAAATGCTAAGGAACTAAACCTTTAAAAGAAAAATGAACCGAAGAGAATTTCTCTCTGGCTGATGCTGTGGGCCAGGGGCCGTTCTGCCTCAGCTCTCAGCAGCAAGAGCTGGGAACCACAGGCAAACTTCTCAGCTCCTGGTTAGGCCCACGGAGGAAAGGTGAGCAGAGGCACAGTGGGGGTGGGCACCCTCCCTGCTGTCGTAAGGCATGCCTGTGACAGAGCCTGAGATCTCAGTGCTTTGCTCCAGCCACCCAACCCATCCTTCCCTTTTGTTGAAAACACATTTTAAAGAAAATAAAGTAGGGAGCATGTCTGGCAAAGGGAATGGCAGTGTGCAGCTGAAATCACTGATGACCAGTGCTGATCTCATGTATTGCAATTTGAATATGACTGAATTTTGTGCCTTTGCGTATTTTCAGCAGAGTATTTTTTTTTTCTCCCTTCCTTCTGTTAGAAAACATAAAGAAATACAAAATTCCAGCATAAAAACAGTAATATGAAAAATTACGCAAGCACACCAGCCACATAACAGTCAAGGATAAAAAGTAAAATTAAAAACTTTCCACTTGTCTGTTTTGAGTTACATAGATGAAGCATTGTTTAGTTTTGGGGCAAAACCCTTCTGACTTTACATGGATTTTAATGTATGGATTTACTCGTACGTGAGTGAAACTGTACTTTTGGTAATTACATCCAGAATTTTCCTGTTAAAAGATGGGTCAACGTGGAGACAAGATGGCGGTTCGTAGAGCACAAAATGGCGGGTGAGCCGCTGTGGGGGAGGAGGTGTGATCCAACGGGCTCTGCCTGCCTGTGCATTGCGCCCGTAGTGGCTGCAGGAGGCCCATGGTGTTAGGCCTTTCTTACTCTGTCACTCTGCCATTGTCTCACATGGCCTCTAGGCTGCTATGGATTTCCTTGGCAAAAGTATAGCTGTGTCTGAAATAGGACGTTTAGCAGAAATAGCACATTTTCCCCACTAGTAAACCTGCAGCCCTCCAGGCCGGTGCAGTGCCCTTCTGTGCTATGCATGCTGCTTGTGTGGGCTGGATGAGAAATCGAAATTGGGCAAAGCCCTGCCTGTGTAAGCTACCTCCTCTGTTCCCCATGTCTCATTGATGTTGTCAATGACACCGGCCCCACAGACAAGTTTATAGGATACTGGAATTCTTCAAAGGAAGGGAAGGGATTGGGAAAAAGCATAAAATCAAGGATCCTGTGGTGCAAACGTGAATAATCAATGCAAATAATCACTGGAGCAGGTTCCAGGGCTTGGCGTACAGATCCCACCTGCTCAATAGCGCCTGTGTTTGAGGCTTTGCAATACGGTTTTGATTTCATTTGCAGAACTATTTAGAACTTGTATTCAAATCCAGCAGTATTTATATTAAAGGGCGAGAGGCTATTCAGTGCAAGGAATATATACTTTTCATCAGGAAATGAAGACTCATGATTTAAATTCTTTTGGTGTTGTGGTGACATAGTAAGCAGATATAGGTGATCAACTTTTACAACTGAGATGAATTTCTGCAATTACTGCTACCAAACACGCGGCCTGGCAGCAGAGGGGCTGCCACTGGCCTCAGTACCGGCAGGATTGGGCTCATTGCTGGCCTTCGTCTTGGCAGCTGATTTCTTCCTTACTTGTAAGAGTGAGATGAAATTTTATAACTCCTAACAGGCAGGCTGTGTACATGTCGCTTGCAAGTGCTGAGCACCTGGCTCTTGCAGCTTTCATATCATCAAGCTTTAAATGCACTTATTTATGACTGTCATATTGCGGAACTTGCTTGAATGTTATAATAGTATTCTTCTAAAATCCTGAATGTGGAAAAAAAACTATTGTTAATGACATAAATCAGGCAGTTTTCCCCTCATCGGTCAGTTCTTTACTGTGATCTGTTACAGCATGAATTTCAAAAATGAACTCCGCATTTGCAGAGGCAATTTTGTACATGCAAGTTGTTGTGAACATACAAGATTTCAAATGTGCATCTTTAGCTAGGGATACTTAAACCTCTATTAAAATTTCACATGAACCTGTCCAGGAAGAAACTGCACGCAGAAATCTCATACTTAGGTTAGAATATAAGGAAAAACTCTTCACTGAATTTCTACCTTATGAATTATTTTATAGAAAGCAATAAGTTCTCCTTTGGTTGTGTGGTGGTCTGTTAGAATACTTAATGTAGTCCTGGACCTAGATTTCTGATGACTTTGCTTTTTAGGTGGTTCTTTATAGCAATCACAACATATTTTTGTTCTTTTTCAGTTGAAGAGGGCGAATCTTCGGATTTTGCTTTGAACTGGGACTCATCAGTGACTCAATCAGGTAAATATTTTAGGTTCTTCTGATTGCAAAAATTGCCAGAAAGCTGCCAGGCTTTTTACAGGAACTGTATTTTGTATGTCACATTCCTGTCTCCAATCCAAGACTACCCACTGCAACACAATTTTTATATCAGTTCCATATGGTCAATAAAATCTATTACATACAGAGACTAATATACTCTTATCCTCTGGAGAGCCATTCCTCCTTCTTGTGGGCACACTGAAGCGGGTTGTGATTTCTCCAGTATAACCACTTCGAAGTTTTTTGCAGTGGGCACTGTTGCACATTCATTCCAATCTAATTACATAAAAGCAGCTTTAACAGGAATTTTAAACTGCAGTCTCAACTGGAATGTGTGTGTTTCTCCTCTCGGAGGAAATTGGAAAGTACTGTCAGAGCTGGAGGATGAAAGTGGTACATTGCCATGGCAGAGAGATTGAACACGCAAAGCAGCTTTTGCTCTCTTTGATAGCAAGAGTACTTAAACATGTGTCTGGAATGTGCTCATTTGTATTGCACTGAAAATGTGAATGAAGAGAGTCTTAAAGCATGCTGGTGTGTAGCTATGTAATGTGTGTTGATAACGTGAATGTAATCAGCCGATTGGCTTATGTTCAAAGGTAGGGGGAAGTAACCAGTTATGTTCCAGAGCTGTGTGCCACGTGTGCTGGTGTTTTACTGTCTTTTACATCTCTAACGGTAACGAGATCATCAGAATATTTTTGACTCTTGAAGCTGTTAACTCCATTTCCCTGCCCTCCTCTTGATGAGGGTGCTCTGAAAGACTGGGCAGTGGTATGGGAACCATTCTCAAACCGAGCATTAATGTGAGAATAAAGAGGTGCTGCCTTCCCATTCTGTGCAGGCTGTGAGGCACTTAGCAGCAGAGCAGCCTGCAGGAGGCCTCTGCTATGGCAGCAGCATCTGGTGGCTTGGCATGGCACATGCTTCGTGGAACGGGCACATCTTCTTGGGTGCAAAGCTGTCCTGCGGTCCTTGGGTGGCCAGCATTGCCCTCGGGGCCCCTTTGTGCCTTCAAGGTTTGCCCTGTTCTGCTGTCCTGCTGCCACCAGCCCTGGGTCATGTTTGACTCTGCACAGGCTGTGGTTCCAAATAGTAACAGTAGCAATAACTTCTGTGCAGAGTGAAATTAGTTTGGGATTTGTGGACCATATTGGTGACTAGGCTGTAGGTAACAAAGCCTATAAGAGGCTTTTCTCAAATTAGTTGGGTCTCCTTCATTTCTCCTTATTTATTCCTATAATTATAGCCCTCATTCAAGATGTCAGATGTGAGGTGAAATGTTTTGAATGTGTGGTTTATGGCAGCTTAAAGAAAATGGGTGCTAATTGACAGGTTTTCCTTTCAGTATGGTCAATAGGCACAGGCTTCCATCCGACATGCATGTCAGGGTACAGCTTGTTCTGTAAGCAGAGGGCAGAAGCTGCAGACTGACACGCAACTGAGCAATGGCACAGACAGTGTGCAAAACCGCAGTGCATAGCAGTGTAGTGTAGCAGCTCTTGTGCAGTACATGGCCCTGGCTGCAGCCACGAACAGAAGCTGGCCCCAGCCCACAACACCCTCATTACATTCTGTTGTGATCTTTCTGTTTGTATTAGCTCCAGAAGGTTGATGCTAAACTTCAGCAATGGATGAAAAACATGCTTCAGCTTCTTCTTTCATGCCCCTTCCTTCCCCAGCCCCAAATGACAAGACTGCCTCCCCTACAGAAAAAAAAAACAATTAAAAGCACAAAAAATGGACTTGTTAAACTCTGAAACGGTTGCCAGATGTTTCAAGTTAACATATTTCTCTGCCTTCTTCTCCTGCATGTTAGCACATCTCTGTGTGCAAACACTCTCAAAGTGACTCCTGGGAAGTTCTGCTGGTGCTTGGCAGGCTGCTGCCAGCTCTGGGTGAACATGGGACAGCACTGGGCACTGCTATGTGCAGAGTTGTTTTAATGCTTATGGCTCATTCCAGCTGAGGGAGAGGAGGTGCTTCTGCTGCTGTAGCTTGCTTTTCTCACCAAGCCAGCACAAGCAAAGCTGGAAGTGCTCTTGGAGAGGCCAAGAATTGAGAGAATGCAATGAGACTGTCCCTGATGCAGGAATTGCTCTCAGTGCCCATCAGGCCCATTTATGAGGGGCATGCTGCCAACTTCCTCTGTAGTTCTCATTCTCGTTTTTTCTTAATGCAGAACAAGAAAAGGCCTCCCTTGCCCTTGTCACCCTGAGGACCCAGCTTGGTGGGCAGCCCCTGTCCCAGTGGAGCAATGCAGCAAGGACCCCCTCCCCTGCTGCCCCCACTCTGCCCTGTCTGGGGCTTAATGCTGCCTCCAGGCCAAGAAACCAGGGTTCTGCCTCTGGCTGACTGGACCCTTGCTTTGCAGACCACGTTGCTGTTGTAATACATCACAAGAGCATTATCTTGAGGAGTAGCAAGGGACATTTTAAAGAAATAAAAAGTCTTACTAAATATATAGAGAATTTAAGGCATTTTAAAGACCTATGGAAACATTTTGCATAGGGATTGCTGGGGAGTTTCTCATTAGCCTGGCTGTTGGGCCCTGGGGAAGCTCAGCCAAATTGTCTGGGGCACACAGAGCAGATTCTGCATTCTCCTTGGGATCCCTGCAGACCTAAAAGCCTGAATTTTTGTGTCTGCTCTTGAGGAGATGGAGGTATCCTTGCTAGCAGCTACAAGCTGGGATACTGAGTGAGGGCCTGGTAAACAGGGCTGGTGACCCGCAGTGGGTGCTGGGGATGAGTGGCACTGAGCTCCCATGCATGTGAGAGCTTGCTTTGTCCAGGATCCTGTGTGAGGATTTGAACTGCCTTCTACTATTTCTTTTAAAGTTTTTCTCATTTAAGAGAGAAGAAGGAAAAAAAATAAAAATGTGGCAACTTTTGAGAAACAAACCACAAAATTATACAAAACAAACCCCAGCCTGCAGTCACTCCTCTCTCACTCTTCCACTTTGCATGACATCTCCCAGCAATGTAAATCTCACCTCTCACTTGGTGCCTCAGTACAGAAACAATTCTGTGCTGCTCGGGGACCAGCAGAGCCTGCATGGTGCTGAGATGGCTGATGTCTGATGTATGGCATCTCCCTTAAATGGCAGAACTTTGGAAAAAACCTGCAGACACTCTCTAAATGAAATCCTGGGATCCCTTACTGCTGCAGAACTTTGAGGAGTTCAGTTACAACTCAGCAAGCATTATAAACCTTTTGTCTTGCATGTACTCTGGAATTGCTTGTCCTGAGCGCCTTCATAGGCTTGGGCATCTAAAAGCTGATTTCACTGGTAAATCAGTACTACCACGTTCTGACTGCAGGTACGCAAAGATTTCCAAAGAAACGAACACTTGAACTGTATTAGCAAAGAACAGTTTGCTAACAAAGTCAGGAGACTTTGGTAACTTCTCTTAGTTGCACTTTTTTTTTTTTTTTTTTTTTTTTTTCTCCAGCCTATGATGGAAGGTTTCATCTGACAGATTCCTGATAGCAGGAGGAGCTTTTGGTAGAGGTGTGGGGTTCCCATGGTCTCACCCACATCCTTCACCTGCAGCACCTCAGGAGCAGATACAAAAGCCAAAGCTCTCAGCAGCTCCCTGGCTAGCATTGGATCTGGATGGATGTCTGATGGTGCCAGGGGGAGTTGGGGCCTCCTGCAAGGGAGAGCAGCCCTCAGATGTGAACACAGCTTGTGTGGCAGGATTTAAATCAGCAGCACACACCTGTGTATTATGGCATTTCCTAGAAAATACTTACTATTAAAAATGTTAATTGGGAAAATTATAGCAGTAGCACAGAGGAGGAGAATTAATTTCCACGGTAAAAGAGGAGAGGAAAAAACAACTCATTTGGAAGGGAGGTACAGTGTGCTACCCTTCATCTATCCACCTTTCACTTTGAAAGCAAATCTGCTTAAGAGAAGCCAAGCGAGGTGGTGAGTCGCATTAAGGTTACTGGACTTCCTCACCATGAAAGCCAGAGCCCAAGGTGCTGCAGGTAACAAGGGCTGTTCCTGTAGCCCCACAGTGCTGGAAGGACTGCCCTCAGCACCACTTAGCCCTGTGGGAGCCTGCAGTCAAACAGGCAGCAAGGTCCTTGGGTTGGCCCCAGGTTCCTGTGAGCTGGGTGGGGCCCCAGGTCTAGGTGATGTCCCCATGGGACCATCCTGCCAGGACTGAGGCTTTCATGAGCCCTCATCTGTTCAGCACCCACTGGCATGCCTGTCCCGCCGTGGGCCCTGCCTTGGTGCCAAGTGGTGCCCCATGTAGCCCTGCTTCTTCTGTTCCACTCCATGCTCCTCCTCTGCATTCTGTTTTCTCTTCTCCTGCGGTGCTACCTGGTCATCTCATTCTCCACAAGCAAAGGGATGGGGTTAGATGAACATTTACTGTGATTTCAGATGAAAATTGCATCTGTTGTTTACAACAGCCTTCAGGGCATAACTAGCAGTAATGGACTAAAGTAGAGAGAAGGAGATCCTGGACTGAATTTCAAGAAACAGCTCCCAGTAGTGAGATCTAACAGGCTCTGGTATTATCTCCCATCACTTCAGTCATTTTCAAACCATACCGGACAAAGTGCTTGAAAACATGCTGTAGGAATGGCCTTAGATTGCAGAGGGATGGATAAGATCACCTGATAAATCCTTCTTATCTCTAATATATCCAGCTTTGCCACACTCTAGATTTGCTAATATCTTGCAGATCTGGGGACAGATGCAGACTGAGCGCTCTGGCAAAGCGCTTCTATGTAGGATCTCAAAGCACTTTACAAACACTAATCAAGCCTCCCAACCAAGCAGAAAGTATTCCTGTATTCCTAGTGCCCCATCCCATGTGGCTTTGCCTTCGCTTTGTGCATAGTGCCATTGAACATCTTGCCTGAGCTCTAGCTCCTGGATGTGCTCAAATCTTCTCCTTCAGGACTGAGGCATTGCAGGTCCCAGCCTGCTTTGGCAGGGCTGAGTGCAGCCACAG